TATCCTTTAATAAAATAAAATAAAATTGTGTGAAATCTTTTCAAAATTCTATGCCTATACATTTCCTACATAAAAAGAAAGTGTTTGGTTTCATTGTACATAAATTTTTTCTATTAATTTAAGAAGAAAATTAAAGAAGATGCATAAAAAAAATTTATTTATTACATGTAATAAAACTAAAAAGTACATCATTTATTTATTTTATATATTTATTTCTTAAAGTGATGTACATTATAACATTTTTTTTTTATAGTTTGGGCATATACCTTATACATATATAACACGCACCTTATAATTTTGTTAAAAAAAAAGTATTAAAAATATTGAAGTATTGTTTTTTTTTTTTCCTTCTTCTTAATGTGATAAATGTATCTTGTGGGTATGTACCTTATATCTTTATCATGTACATTAAAATTTTGTACAACTAAATAAAAAAATTCCAATTTTTTCGGAAATAATTCATATAAAATAATTTGATCATGCACCTTATACCTTATGAGCATGTACCTTATACCTTCCGAGCATGTATATTATATACTTCCTCCGTTTGTTTAAATATTGCACCACTTGTCTTTTAAGGAAGTTTTACAAATATTACACCTTATTCATTTTTAAAAAGAAAATATTTGTGTTCACACTACAAATATCTTATTTATCCTTACATTTAAATACTTGATTCTCTACTTTATGTTTACAATCACATGGACACTTTTGTATCTTTACCTTTCTCTCTCTTCCTTTTTTCTACTACCAAAAAAATTTGTGCCCAACTCTTAGGGTGCAATATTAAAAGAACAAAGGAAGTATAAGACATGTAACTTACTATTTCACCGGTAAAATTGAATTTTTGTAAAATATATTCTTTCCATTTTTTTATAAGCTAGAGTTACTATTTTCATCCGTTTTTTTAATGAGGTAGAGTTCCATTTTTGGAAATCTCATACAATTTAATAATATATCTTCACCCACTAATGTCCCCATTCTTTCTTACTTTATCATTTTTCACTCCTCCAATGGTCCCCACTCCCTCTCACACTACTTTACTTTTCAATAGAGCTATCAAAACCACACCCGACCTGATCCGAAACCGACCCGAAAAATATCCGATTCAGATTACGACTCGCGTGGCCATAATAACGTAGTATGACTCAACTTTAAAATTTGACCCGACCCGACCTCATCAGACCTGATCTGATCATCTGAATTGACACCTCTACTTTTCAATACAATAATAACCTTATCTACCCCACTAACATCTTATTTTATTAAACCACCTAAAACTCTGCGCAATCTCATCTCTAACCTATAAAAAAACGGAGTATTATACTACTCATATAACAAATGTTTTTAAATGATGAATATAATAATATATGCTGATATACAAAGATTAAATTATCAAGGATTGTGATGTAATAATAGTTGCAATTTCCAAACTTTTTAGGCAGCAAGTAACTAATCAACTTTCTAAATTCTGCTAAACTATTAGATTACGTCTTGCTTTTGGAGTATAGCTCCATCATCTTCAATAATTATCCGTTGGCATAAATCATAATTTCTGAAGTTTAAAGTTGTCTTTTGAGTAGTTCACTTTGATTGTTGAATATTTTTGCTGTGTCCCTGATATATCACTATTAATCCATGGGGTTTTAAGAATATTTATTTTTCCATGGATTAATATAAGTCAAACAAAGAAAAACATAAGTGATTAGAGATATTGTTGTAGGGAGATAAGTTTATTATAAATGAAATAAGGTAGTTGGTATAAGGAAAACAGAAAGGTGAAGGAATCATTACCTGCATAATGCGAGTAATATTTGACGTCCCTCTCCCTAGTACAGTGTAACTGTAAATATTGGGGAAATATTTCTTTGTGTTTTCTCATTGTATTTTTCCTTGTATTTTTCCATTTACAATGTTCGACCACATTACAATATATATGGACAATAAGAATATCTAACCCTAATATTCCTAAATCTATCGCAATATCTCACACATATATCTTTTCACAAGATATTCTCTAGAATATTATCACAATATAATATCATAATATTATCTTTAATCTCATAACTTCCTAAATCTATCACAATATCTCACACATATATCTTTTCACAAGGTATTCTCTAAAATATTATCACAATATAATATGACAATAATATCTTTAATCTCATATGATATTATTCTCATAATATCATATCAACATACACATTCCTATCTCAATACCCTCCCTCAAGTCGGAGGTGTAGATGTCAAACATCCGACTTGGACTATAAATAAAATATGCATCATGTCATCATCAAGCTGCAATATGTAGTCATCAAACGATCCGCCGAAAATCACAAAAATAATCATTTTGAACTTGATCATGCCGCATTATTCCTCTTCATTAAAAATCATCATATTTCTCCATGATCAACAATTCAACATAGTCACATAAAGAAATTGATCTTAGAAAAATAAAAAAGTAATTTATGAACTCTCACAATTACTCTGTATTGAATGCAAATAATGAATAATGCGTACAAATGATCACTTCTTTTACACGAACTCTTGTGTTTTTTTTTGTTTTTCTCCCTTATGGGAACGTCATTCTTTTCGAACCCATTAATCATCAATCAAGCAGGAACGTCATTTTTTTCGAATCTGCAAATATAACAATTTTGAATTGGTTTTTCCTGAGCAAAATTGTGCTCCAATCAAATATTGGTTTTTCAAAGCAAACCACACTCAAATCTCTTATTGGTTTTATTTTAGAGCAAAACCAAACTCATATCCAAAGGAGCAAAATCATGCTCGAATCAAATCACAAACCCAAAATTAGGGTAATAGTTCTCCTTTCTTCACCTATCACGACACCAAGCACCACTACGTAAAACTCCATCCTTACAATCACACCATCATTATCTCCTCATTCCCTATATTCACTTTTATTTTGTTTAGTTTGACTTTTACTACCCTAGTAATACATTACTCTCAATCCAAGCATGTCATTAGCTCAACAACAAAATGGGTAATTCATAATATAAACAGTTTGTTACACTATAACGAAGAGTGATGTACATACACTAGGTGCACCTGAAATTTGTATGTATAACTAATTAACTATATGTATAGGGAATTTGTATTGTTATGAGGGAGGTAGGGAGGAGGGGAGCTAAAGGACATGTAAGTAGATAGATAGACCTAACCTAATCATATATTAGGATTTTTCATTAATTGGGCTAAACTCGAACTATCTTGAGCTTAAAGTTTTAATCATCTCATTAACATTTTTAGAAGGAATGATTACTTAATTTAACTACAACAAAGATGTATTGAATTTTTGTAAGGGACAATGCAACAATATAAATGTTTTCGTATGACACATAATTGTTGTTATCTTTCATGACTTGTTAGTGAAGTTACGCAAGCTAGTTCTTATTTACGAAGTATTTATTTATTTTATTAATTGACATGGAGTATAATTTTTAGGTCCATAGAAGGTTTGATTACAAATTATTAGTTGTTTTCAGATACACATCTAGGTGTGCCCATGAGTACGTGTTTTTAAAGATGTTCATTTTATCAGTTTTATTCATTCAAAATTCTAAAAACGATGAGGAAAAAATAAAATTAGCTCTTGAGTTACCTTTAGATGTACCCGGAAATACGATAGGTGCTTAGGTTTGATGACATATTCATTTATCAAAGGAGTACTATAATAGCAACAAACTAAGCTTGTAAATAGTCGATTGATTTCTTGATTGATATATTTCTTTTCTTATCATTTATTTCCATTTGTGAGAAAGTTAATTAACTAATCAAGCTGGAGGAAAGTTTAGATATTTAAGCTACTACAAGTTTGAAGTTTTAAAATTTTGGAACTCAAGTCTCAAATTGAAGTTTTAATTGAATGAGGCTTTTATTTGAAGTCGTAGCAGTAAAAGTTACTTCAAAAAGATTATATTCCTAATGATGCCATTGGAATATTAGTTTAGAGCTAGACAAATATTTTTCTAATACCATTACATACGCTAATACGACATGCCCATAATGTTACCCACTTACCCGTGATATAAATTTCAATTAGCTAAGTTAGTAAAATGTTTGAGAATGGTATTGCATTGCTGCTTATATATACACTCGAAAAAAAAAACGTTTAGTGTTATTACCTTCTCACATTTGCTTTAAGAAGTTGTGTTGGTTATTTTTATTGAGGTAAAAAAGATTAACAACACAAATCAATGCAAAGTTTCGATAATATGTACTATATAAACTTATAAATGAAAGAGTGAGGGATAACTCAGTTAATTAATGTTTCCCTCCCGGTTTCAAGGGTGTTGGGATCGATTTTCATTAACAAGGGCTCTTTAAAAAACAATTTTTTTTTTTTTTTGAGGAAAAACAACAAAATAAATAATTAAAAATAAATAAATGAACATTGGAGAGAAATGCTACATGCCTACATCATTTTGGTAAAATAAACTGTAAATATCTAAAAAGTATATCTAAAAAAATTTCCGATCAAATGAATTATTTTAATTATATATAAGGGCCCACTTATTCAAGGGTAGTAGGTAATTTGTATTTATTATATTTTCAGAGTATTTATTAATTTTATAGATTATCACTTCATATGCATCAATGCATGGTATGAGCTAAGAGAGCTTATACAATATTCCTGCGATAACCTAAGTCAACAAAAATCCAGAAAACTGGGGAAATAATTAAGTAAAAATGTCATAGATGAGGAAGTCTATACCAAATTATTTATGCCTTTTGCAGAGCTTGCAGCCTCAAACCAAGCAAGTGCTAATTATAGTAATACAGAAAGAATATTATACCCCCAAAGTCTTAACTCAATTAATATGTTTCATACCACATTAATATTAATATAATTAATTTTTTACTAAGGTTAATTATATAGTACAAGTATTATACAAGTACAAGATTTGTAGTAAGTACGTAGAAATTAAAGTGACAAGGTAAAATTTGTAGCTATATAAAGGGTAGTGTGCTTAAGGTTAAAGCATAACCAAATCCTTCACATTTTAGTGAAAAAAACATGGGAAAGTTAGGAGGAATAGCCCCTCTCATGGCCACTCTAGTAGTGGCTTTTGTCGCCCTTACCATGCCGGTGTTGATCTCGGCTGATTACAAGTATGCCTCACCACCACCACCTCCCTACCAATACACCTTTCCGCCACCGGCTCATCATGAGATGCCTAAGGAACACTACCCACATCCACACCATGATAAGCCTAAAAAACATTTTCCTCCTTATCATCATTATGATAAGCCCCCGCACCATAAAAAACCTAAGGAACATTATCCGTGGCCAAAACCTTCTCCGGGTTACAAGTCACCACCTTATTATTATTCACCACCATCTCCAGTGTACAAGTCTCCACCACCAACTCCGGTGTACAAGTCTCCTCCTACATATTACCCCCCTCCAACCCCGGTGTACAAGTCTCCTCCTATGTATTACCCCCCTCCGACCCCAATCTACAAGTCTCCACCACCATCTCCAGTGTACAAGTCTCCTCCAACGTATTATCCCCCTCCAACCTACAAGTCACCACCAACTCCGGTATACAAATCACCTCCTAAGTACTATCCACCTCCAACCCCAGTTTACAAGTCTCCACCAGTGTACAAATCACCTCCTAAGTACTATCCACCTCCAACCCCAGTTTACAAGTCTCCACCAGTGTACAAATCACCTCCTAAGTACTATCCACCTCCAACCCCAGTTTACAAGTCTCCACCAGTGTACAAGTCTCCTCCTACATACTACCCACCAACTCCTATCTACAAGTCCCCTCCAGTGTACAAGTCTCCACCAGTTCACAAATATCCACCTCCAACCCCCGTGTATAAGTCTCCTCCAGTATACAAGTCTCCACCAGTTTACACGTATCCACCCCCAAGTCCGGTGTACAAGTCACCTCCACACTACTACTACCCACCTCACCCTATCTACAAATCTCCCCCGTTTCACAAACACCCACCGCACCTCCACCACCACCCAATTTACTCATCTCCACCAAAGTCGCACCATCACCCGTACCCTCACCCTCATCTCCACCCCCATCCTAAGCCTGGCTACCATTCACCTTCCCCTCCTTATGCCTATACTTCTCCCCCGCCTCCTTACCACTATTAGCTTGAGTTGACTCTTGTTTTAAATTGTTGACAAGGTAATGCTACATGCTATTATTATAATTGGTGTGTATTATTACTAAACCTTAAAATTTGGATTGCGACATGCATGTATCTTTGAAAAACCCATGTTGTTTATTTCGTCACTAGACAATAAAGTATCCGTATCATAAGATTTTGCGTATTTACGTCATAATACACATTGATAATCCTCATTTATCTTGGTTTTTTTTTTTTTATATATATATATATTCATTTATTTAAGATATGAAATGAGATAATAACAAGGAATTATATGATTTAATTTTCAGGTAAATGGCAGCTATTTGATTAATACAAGTTCAGAAAAACGGCACGCAAGTAGTCTAAGGGAAAGAAGGAGAAAAAACAAGACTGTATTGTCACAATAAATCAAGTTAGGGAGTGAATTATTTTCTTGTATTCCTAGGGTTGTATTCAGTTTCGAACTTATGCAACTCAAGCACCATGTAATAATATGTTTGTCATAAATTATTATAATTAATAGTGTTTTTTATTGTTTAAGCTACAACATAATTCCTCCTATGTCCTGAATTAATAAAATTCGAAGTATGTTTATCCCAGTTTTGAAAATAATTTTAATTTTACGAGTTAAATTAATTTGCGATAGAGAAAAGAAAATGCTATTATTTTTAAAGAAAAAATTATTTGGAAAGTTCTTATACTACATACGAAGTACAAATTAAGCTAAGGGTATACAATAATAAGGTCACATGGCAAAAAGAATCTAGTTTCCAATTTCATCATAAACATATTTGATAGTAGTAGGAATAAAGTTAATCAATTTATTGGTATAGTACTAGTAGATAATGACAATGAATGAAGAGAATTGAAGTAAATGTATCCCAAATTGACTTTTCACATAGAAGGCAATTTCATCATTAAGTGCTCTTTGAAGAATTTTTTACCATTTGTGTTCACTCTTTCAAGCACTTACAAGTTACTACCAACAATTTAAAGAGGTATACTTGAGGAAATTAACCTTCTTTAATACTAGTTGTTAAATCTACACATTCGAAAGTTAAAGCTCCTTAGAATTCATAATATTGTGTACGTAGCTCAATGATACAATTGTACGAGTATTCGGGAAAATACGGCGTAGGCCATAAAAAGGCACCGAAGGACTAGCGGCACCACCAGAGAAAGGGAAATTCCGGGGAAGCGAAGGTGTGGGTTGCACCCCCTGAAATGTCACACCAGAGGAGAGAGGAACAGAAGTCTCTCCTACCCCAGTCGTGGACAGGGAAACGACCGGAGAAACACCACTAGACGGTGTGGATGGCGTAAACCCACCGTCAGCCGAAGCCGATACACCAAAAGAAGTAGGTGGCGGAATGAATGACATTAGAGAAGAAGCGGAAGCAAGAAGATATTAGATCCCAAGAAAAAACAAAGAAAAAGAAATTGATACCAAAAATAAAAAACTAATACCAAAAAAAATTGATTTGGGGAAAAAAATAGTGTCCAAGAAACTGATTTTAATTTCTTTTTCTTTTTAGTATCCTAGAGCTCTTGATACCATGTACGAGTATTCGAGAAAATACGGCTCACCCTCAATACAGAGCCTTAACGATGTATATATAGATAAATACGTAAGACCTAATATACTGAAAATTCCGTTCCGTCCTTTACATGTATAAATACCCTAACAACAACAATCGACTTACAACTAGCACAAAAGCTAGAAATTTTTTTAACTTATTTCTTGTTTTTAAAGTCTCCTAAGGGATCTAGCTGTAATTTGTACTTGTAACATAGTACAAACGTTAAATCATAATTTTTTGCATGTGCTATTGGTCATTGTTATCTATACAATTCCAACGTACATTCAGGTTTTTATAATTTTATATTACATCTTGTGCCACAAAATTAGAAAAAGGTATTTTATGGTTAAAAACTTTGCTCAAAAAATATCTCAAAGTGAAGCTTCAAGCCTCAAAATAGCTTTTCTATTCTCGACATCACTTACAAACGACTATTTACTCAATGTAAAGCTAATTAAAGGCTGATTACCCTCAATATAATGCTAATTAAAGGTTGGTAGAGCAAAAATTAACAGAAGAAATGCCATTGAAAATGAAAGAAAAGTGAAATTATTCATTCAATGTTTTGTGTCGACAGCTCTATATAGTGCACATAGATCATAATTTAGTAATATTTCCAACCTAAGAAGAAAAAATTGATTAATCTTAGATTCATGGATGTTTCAAAACTAAAAAACAGCCCAATCCAAAGCCAGTTTTATTTTTTTATTTTTAAAGGGGAAAAAGCAAAATTATAAATTTCTTAAAAGGGAGCTCCAAGAGCAGAGTACATCAAACAAAATGCGACCAACATTTCTTCTGCCATCATCCCACAAAGTCTCGGGCGCAGCAGGGAACACAAACAAATAATTAAACATGAAACTAAAACTAGAACAGAAAGCAAATAGCAGCGTCTAACATGATCAAGGGTAACTGCTCTTGACATCTTCCTCGTACGCAATCCTTGCACAGCAGGGAGCGGTGTCATGGTGCTTCTCTCCCTCCTCAATATCCATGGCCAACATAGCCAAGTAGTGAGCAACATAGTTTGCTTCTCGGGGAATGTAACTGAAGCTGAAATTTATTGGAAATTAATAACTTTTTTTTGGCTCAGAAACCGTACTAGTTCTCTTCAATACGGCCCGGTTAATCCATTTCTCAAATGTGTACCAGTTTTTGTATAGCCAAAGGCACTATTGTCAATGGTCACTTCCGTTTGCAAAACACCTGTCTTGCATTCGATGCTAAAATCAATAATAGATATGCCAAAATCAGTTTACTAATAAAGCAATTTCAGAACTAAAAACTATGCAAGCAAAGCAGATCATAGCATATCATCAAATTTTGCTTCTTTTGAAAACCATGTTTGGAGCATAAAAATTAGCCATCTCCGACCAAGTAGCTAGCCCTGAAATAGTACCCCTAATACCCTCAATTAGAAAACAGTTAAGCTAATGCATTCATTGGATTTATGGCTACGGTAAAATAACTAAGATAAGTACCACTCAGGTTTAAACAAAAACCTGCCGAAAACTACACATCACACAGCGGATGCCAGAAATTAAAATAAAGGCTAACCGATCTACGCCACTTTAATCCAGTTGCCGATATTTATCTTCTTTTCCTCATCTCTTCCAGCATGCTCTATAACCTTTAAGGCAGGCATGGAACCATAATACACTAGGGCAAAATAAACCACCAAATTGGAGCATGATTAATAAAAAGCGCACTTGCCCCATCTCATTTACTAATGCCTCCCACGAGATCCAGCACCCGATCGAGGACCTGGGTGCCGAGAGAACTGTATGCGAAGATAGGCAGAATCTCGATCATCTTCATCCATCTTGTAACCTGTCAGTAGGGACTAGTTAGTATAAATTCAGTCTAATTCATGTATCAATTGAAGAAAATGTAAACAAAATTTCGCAGAAAATGGAACATTTCAGTCCAATTCAAATATTAATTGAAAAAACTGTAACATTTCTTTGTGCTTCAGCAAGCATTCTCAACCAGTGGAAAACTGGCTAAACTACTTCAACACATGAGGAAAGCTAGTGTAGGCGTGTAGCAGCCTAGCATGGCTAGCAGGGACTAAATGATCCATTACCTTGCAAGGCACTTAAAGCTGTAGCAGCACAGGCTGCATCAACAAAATCCACAAAACAGAGGATGAGAGGATCTCCTCCGCGCTGCATAACAATAAGCATAATTAAATTGTATTTTGGCTACAGAAATACAAACATAATCAGACCTAGCAATAATTACATTACCAGAAATACATATAAAGAATATATGTAGAGTTTGGGTCGATTTATCAGGTTTAAGGTTGGTTTTTGGCAACAACTTTCAGCAGACTTCCAAAATATTCACTAAAGTAGTTTAATTCAGGTAATATCAGCTTGTCAGGTTCTAGGGTTAATTTGCACCTTTGTGCTGTTTCTGCAAACTGGGTTGTGTTCAGAAAATTCAGCTTAATTTATGTTCTGAAATGCAATTTTTTAAAAACCTTTCATGGGATGTCAAGATTCAAGTCTGTTTCGACGGTTTAGACTCATTGAGTCGGATAGGGTTGGGGTTTTTCAAACCAGGTCAATTTTGAGATTCCTACATCCTAAGTGCAGTATACAAACATAGAGTTTAAAGCCAAAGCAATGAGTAAATTTTTCACACCCAAAAATGTCACATCTCATTTCCCTTTAATATTTAATAATCAATACACCAATACTTTGATGCTCATGACTCTGGCATTTCTAGTCAATGAATTAGTTAAATCACTGAAAGTTTATTTGTAAATATTCCTATCTACATTAAACGGTGCATTTTTTTTTTTTTTATCAATCATAAGTGAAACAACGAGGTCAAATAAATTTATAAAAAAAAATTAAAAAAAAAAAAAAGTAGCAACCAGTGTATGAAGAAACAAGGAGATGAAATCAATTGCTCACTTACATGTTTGGACTCCTTGGTCACTAGTCGTACTTCTTTATACCCCACAAAGGGGCGAAAGATATCTAGACTAGTTAAGAAACTTATCAAAAAAAATTATTGGAGTCATGATGCAGTATAACTATATGTCATCAACACATGATGAAAAAAGGATACGAGCTACTTCTCTTTTACTGCTATTCGGAGGAAGTCCCTCGACATATAGAGTGTTTGAAGCGTCGGAAGGAAGAGGTACAGTTTCACGTACAGGTCTGGCCAATGTATCAACTCGCAGCTGACCCCCAAATCCAACATCTCGTCCATTTGATGCTGCATCTGGGGCCATAGATCCAGGGCGGCCCAATAGAGATGGTTCTCCCACTGAGATACCCCTTCCCAATGAAGCTCCTGGAAATGTACTAGCTTCTCCAGCAGTGTAGGATGGAACTTCCTTCGGAAGAGAAGAAGGGAAAATGAGAAAGAAAAAAAAAAAAGAAGTGTGCACTTCAGCAATTAGATGGATAGGCCAAACAGAAAACGATAAAGTGTCTCAATAGGATCCAAGAGACTACCGTTCTTTGGAGATAACGGTCATACGCTGACCCTAGTGTTTGTGAGTCCTTTGCAACCCTGGGTCCTCCTCGTTCATCGTCTCGTATTAAATAGTCACGCATATCAAGTGCAGGTGTTATCCGTGAAGGAGGCAGCTCTGTGGGATCATGATTAAAATTTTAGTTCAACAGGATTAAGGAGATTAACTCAATAGCCCTAAGCATGGGTAGCAGAAATGAGTTTCATCCTTGTATGTGTCCATTTGATAATTTAAGTAACCCTAAAAGGTACAAGCCTACAGGCAGAAACATGGCCAATTCTTCAAACTAAGAGTAGGGTAGAAATGAGTCAACTTTGACCAATATATCGTCAGTAAATTATAATATTTTCATCACTAGATTGTCTTAGATATACAAACACAAGATTATAAATATTAAGTTCTTACAATAACATACTGATTATAAGCAATTAATCTTGATTAACCCACGACTGTTGAAAGTTTCATATGGCTATTTGTATTGTGTGTGGAAGCACAGTTTAAAACATATGTTTGGTAACATCAGATGTTAGATGTCCCTATGCAATGACCCAAATTCTGAATATAAAAAACTTGCAGCCATTCTTAAAAAGCTACTGAAACTAGCATTCCATTTAGGATGTGCTAGCTGAAAAGTCATTTACCATACTAGAGAAGAAAAAATGGGAATTCAAGCCTTGCAATGCAATGAACTCATGGTTTTAGGGAAACATAATGCAGTTCTTATTTTAATCTGTGATAGTTAATGGATGGTGGATAGTGGCGTATTTTTAATTATAGTTAGTGGGGTGGTGGATACCTATAGGCATTATAGAAATGTAGCATCTTGTATGTAATTTGAAAAGACCTAATAAGGAAAGACTAGAAAGTAATCAGGATGAAGGGAGTGCTAGACAGGTATAGCTTAACTAACAACTTTTTGCAAGTAGTAAAACATAGGACCAAGTCCTATAAACTTGCAATCCAATACCTCCTCGGTGAAAAAAATAAATAAATAAATAAGGGTCTCCCCTTTTGGAATGCATCTAGTGGGCCTCTATGTGACTTATTACTCTCCTCTTTTCTGTACACATTTCTCTCTTTTTTCATCAAAGTTATATACTTATGTACTCCATCCATTCTTATTATTCTACTCACTTTCTATTTTAGGATGTTTGTTATGTTCTACTCACTTTGCATTATTCTATTTATGGCATACCTCATTTACTATCTTACCCCTTCAACCCCACAATAATTATACCTTTCCATACTCTCTCTTAATTTATTCACCTTTTTCTAACACAAACCCACATTTTTACATTCTCTCTAACTTTATCTTACACACACTCACATTCTTCAACAGTTTATTAAATTGCGTATCTATAGTATATGAGTAGAGCAAAAAAGAAAGGAGGTAGTACATGTCTCCCTAATAAAACATTTACATCCTCGGAGAATAAATAAAGCTTTAATACCTTAACAGGTAAAGTGGAGTCTAGTTGGGGACATTCTGAATACGATATAAGGAAAAATAATAGTGGAGAAAGTATATATTAATACAAATGTAAATAGCTAATTGAAACGCACATCAATCTCAAAATTTATATTCTTCTTGAGACAGGAAAACAAAAAACGAAATATCAACTCCAAGTATTATGCAAACTTAATTCTCACTCAAAAAATTTTAATAAAATAAATAAATAAATAAATATTCCCTGAGAATATCAATGAAGTTACCAACAGCTTCATAGACACTATTGACCAACCAAAAAAACAAAAAGGCCCAAAGAAGAATTATTCTAATAAATTAAGAGAACTTTATGTAATGCTCTGGCATATCAACCATGTAACCATCACCTTCATAGGTTGCATTCAAGTTTTCGTTTTCCAAAATTGGTTTTAAATACTACAAATGATTAAACTTAATACATCAGAAGCCAAATAACACTTTGCAATAAACTATATATAACAGAGCAAAAAACACTCAAGCTATGAAACAACACAGTTACCAACCACTCATACAGCTCCAGTAGATTTAATCTTACCCTTCAACAGTATACAGTACCAAAAATGCAATAAATATTTATGCAATAAGTTTAAAAATTTGAGTCACAAACCCCATAAGAGGGTAAGCCTACTTTACTCGTCCTCATTATTCTTCATATATATACGCATTCATATGTATCAATATACAGAGTAAGAGAATCTATAATGCAACACATCAAGCAAAACAACAAGGACACAGAAATACAAAACATATGCTGATTCTATTCACAAGTCTTTAGAATACCATATTTAATATTGACAATTGTACTACAGGAAAAAAATGTATATAGTGTTAGACTTGTTTTTATTCTTAGCACAACACTCTCCAAATCTCCATAATAAACATATCTATTTTCATATGACCTTACACATACTAGAGCTGGAGATAGGAAACCTTATGAAAAACTTCACATCATACTCTAGAAACTCATACACAAAAGGCCCTTGAGAAAAAAATAAATAAATAAATAAATACAAATATACTCTCCAATCACAGTCTAAACCCAGAACCAGAGTATAAGTTAGCAACCTCAATATCACTATCTCTGCATCTCAGTAAAGGGTGTAATGTACAGAACCAATCACATAATTGTCAGAAGAAACCTTCTTATTCACTCCAAAAGTCCAAAATAATATCAAAGATGGCTTATTATCAAATGTGGCTTAAAATAAACTGTTTCGAGACAGGAGAACATTTAAACATGTCAAGCATAAGTCAGCCCTACATTAACCACCAGTTAAGAGGGGCACACACAACTTGCTCCATCCATTAATTGTCCACAACAAACCCACATTGCAGGATTTTCTGGGAACTAGTAGAAGTTATGAAAATAAAGGCCCTCTAAACCTCAATCCAATAATCCATTTCTCAGTCTAAATATAACCATTACAAAAATCAAATAGCTCTTTGATTAGTCTTGCATATAGTAATGTCCTCCTCTAACACAAAAAGTTATGATGATCATAGTCATATCTGAATCATAATGTTCTTTCTACAAGAATTCTATCAAAAATAGAGTTGCTATTAACCGAAATTTAAAAGACTGACAAAGTTGAACTTGAAAACAGATGTATAATTTGGGTAGGAGCCTAAGAATTCAGCTTATTTCACCTGCAAAAGTGGATAAATTTTCTTTCATATGCCATGAGTACGTTAAAGCTTCCATCCATCTTTTTTTTATAGGTCATAGACTATGTGGCATTCTAATTGGCCGACACAATCTTCCATGATCTTAATAGAAAATCATCAACATTAGCAAATGATTTTCATTTCCCAAGCTACACGTCAAAGTGCAAAGCTCAAAAATCGATTTTCCAAAAATGAATTTAGTGTATGGACCTCCCACTAGCTTATCACATAACCTTTGTACTTAGCCCCTTTTAGCCCCTCATTCAACTAACTGAAAGTCAATAGGACACCAACTAATTGCTATCTCAATACTTAGAAGAAGCTTTACACTAATCACTCTTTTGCCTACTATGATGCATTAACTGAACTCCTGTGGTTTGTTCTTTAACAAGGTAGAACAGAGCTACGTGATCCAAAATCTAGCAATAAACAGCAGCTAACGCAGTTCCATATTGCTTTTTAATTAAAATGACCTTGGGTGCCCACTAGGTTAACCTTAAGAGTTCCAGTATAAAGATTTTCCCATCGATAACCATACCAGAATAAGCCTTCATTTTGTTCAGATCCTATGCATGGATATTGAATCAAAATGATGCTTTTGAAAATTTTCCCACAGATCATATCATACACACACATTCATCTTTATCCTACTATAAAAAATACTTCAACATTCGTGCGTATCATAAAGCCATTCCCTAATGCTGAGTTATCAACAAACTTCCAAACAAAAAGATAAAGATCGGCAGTGTATCATTTCTTTCCTCTATTAACAAACCACCCATATACGTACTTTTCTCTTTTCTTCTCTCCTATCTTTCCACACACCTGCCTTCCATCCCCACCCCACTAAAATAGCTCGAGAAAGTCACAATTCACGCGAAGTTATTATCATCCATGCTCTTGTAGAAAAGACCACACCCATTTAAAAAAAAAAAAAAAAAAAAAAAAAAAACTGCATCTTTAATAGGGCGAATTCATTTGAAGTTCAAAAATATAATAACAACGAAATCCAAGTACGGAGTATCAATTTTGTTATACTCCTACAAATCTCCTGCCACTGGGGAAATTAAGTTCTCTTCTTTAGCATCAAATACTTCGTTGTTTAAGAACAGGCTTGTAATTTAACATGAAACAAACATCATAATCAAACACGACGACGAAACCGAAACGCAAGACAACAATTACAGTCAAATTATAACTTATTACGCAATGAACAAATCACAATTGCACAAAGAGTCCATTGTTAAACGATGATAGTGTTTTTTTTTCCTAAATTAAATGTCAATTCCTACCCGAAAACAGCTTTACAGTGTGATTTGCATTCACAACAAACCAATCAACCAAATTTAGATGAATCAACCAAATTTAGATAAATCAACCAATAATTACAATAAACAAGATAAACCCTAGATTATAAATAATCGCCAAATTCAAATTCATATAGCTAAAGAAAATTTTAAGGAGAGAGGGAGTTACCGTAATCGTTGCGAGGGCGTTTAAGCATGCCAGAAGAGGTATACAAAGGTCCTTGTCGACCCCAAACTCCATCCGCCATTATTAAATTTTCCAAAAGCTTGAAGATTTACAGAGTTTCGAAACTTGGTTTGAGTGAATTTAAAGTTTTAGGAAAGCCTAAATTGAAATTGGGGAAGAAGATTGAAATCGATCAAGAGGTGGTGTTGTGAACTTCAGGCATCGAGTAGTGATTGGCAACACTACAATAGATCTCAAATACGAGGAGGATATCAACCCCTTAATCACGCTTGGTTGGTTTCATTAAAAAAAATCATGAAAAATGTACTCCCCCGTTTTTTTTAATTTACGTGAATGGGTGAATAAATTATTACTTGTTAAATATTATTTGTAACTTTTGTCGTTTTGGGATGATCAGGGTTATGTCTAACTATCTGTTTTCTTTTCATTTTTAGTAAGCAAAAACCCTATAAATTACATATTTACCCTTACTTAAAAATTCTGATTTTCTTAATTTTTACCCTTATGTTAGCTTAATCACATTAATCTAAAAACAATCATATTACCCTAATTTAACTACTCCCTCCATTTATTATCCCATTCCCCCCAACTACTCACATTCACTCCCAATCCCAACCAACAACAATTAATGTGATGGCTGGTATTACTCTTTTGTTCTTCAGAGATGAACCCTAGTTCATGTTCATCCTCTTCGTCTTCCTCTCTCCACTTCGTCCTTCATTTTCTCCAAACTCACTCTCTAGATCTGAACTTCCAACATCAGATCTTTGAAAAATCGAGTCTCATAACACCATGGTTAACCTTGAACCACTGTATGATGCATATATTGCCACTAACGACGAGGGTGAGGGGAAGTTGATTATCTTCCTCATTCAATCCATTGAGACCGGATCTCCCTTTCCTCGCCAATTTTATGAATTTGGTGAGGTTGGTCCTTACTGTAGTTCGACCACCTACAAAGCTTTGGGTAAGGTGCTTAAAAGCGTTGAGGAGGAGGGCCGCCTGGAGAGGACTGAGGGTTAGGGTGAGTCTCATGGGAAGAAATCGCTAGATTTCAGTGCTGTGGCTGTAGATCCAGCCTGTGAAAGCAGTGACGGTAGTTCTGTGGCCATCCAAAAGCCCGGATCTAAGAGGGCTAGGCCACCAACAAAGATCCGGGCTACAAGGAAGGCGGCAAGGGTGGCTCTAAGGTGGATCCGTGGGTTGCCAGATGAGGAGTGGGTGGTTTTGTCCTCTGACGATGAGCCTAACAAGGCGGAGACTTCATCACCTCCTCCAAAGAAGGCTACTTGTGGTGTCCCTCTAGTTCAGGATGATGAAGTGAGGTGGATGAACCCTAAAAATCAACCCTCCAAATGACTACTTGCGTAACGAATCCTAACCCTAACCCTAACTTGTTTAATTTTTAATTTGAGTCCCATGTTGTTTGTTGCGGTGATGAGGAGTCCCTTTTCTTGTCATGATTATTGTTGGCTTGTTGGATCTGTGTTCATGAGTGTGTTGGTTGATTTCTTTCTGGTTGGTGTTGTTGTTTAGTGTTGGTTACTGTTGGTTGATGCTGTCAATTGCTGGGTTGTTGGATCTGTGTTCATGAGTGTGTTGGTTGATTTCTTTCTGGTTGGTGTTGTTGTTTAGTGTTGGTTACTGTTGGTTAATGTAATTGTTTGTTGGGTTGTTGGATCTGTGCTCATGACTGTGTTGGTTGATTTCTCTCTGGTTGGTGTTGTTGTTTAGTGTTGGTTACTGTTGGTTGATGTTGTTGTTTGCTGGCTTGTTGGATCTATGCTCATGATTGTGTTGGTTGATTTCGTTCTGGTTGGTGTTGTTGTTTAGTGTTGGTTACTGTTGGTTGATGTTGTTGTTTGCTGGCTTGTTGGATCTGTGCTCATGACTGTGTTGGTTGATTTCTTTTTTGTTGGTGATGTTGTTCAGTGTTGGTTACTGGTGCTTGCTACTGTTGTTTGCTCCATGTTGTGGTGATAAACCGTCCCTCTCCTTGTGATGACCTGTGTTGGCTTGTTGGCTCTGCTTTGTTGAGTGTGCTAATTGTTGGTTATTGTTTGGTGATGTTGGCTAGTTATGGTGAATGTTGGTTACTAGGGGTTATTGTTGTTGGCATGTTGGATATGTCTTGATTAGGGGAATGTGATTGATGAATGATGAGGCTACTCTGTCATATGGTTTGCAAGGGCTACATTTTTCAGTCCCTAGGTGTGTTTAAAATGAGCAGTCCCAATTGGTTTTGTTTTGAAACACTCAAGTTGTGAGTCCCCCATCTATGTTTTCATAATACTTGAGTGTTGTTTTGTAATCCAAATGATGAAGGGACTCCATTGAATGTCACTTCACACTAGAGTTTTGCTCACAAAATTTCTTGTTTGAGATTGTTGTTGAGGTACCTTTGGTATGAAGTGTTGTATTCAACAATGTGATAAACTCTCCTGATGGATCACTTGGCCAGACATCAAAAGTCATTTTCATTTTCATTCCATTATGAATGTGGGTACAAAAGAACTTACATCTGACTGCCTTACATGGTTGCATCATCATAATCAACAAAATACACCTAACCACCTATTCATGCACATACAATTTTAAAAAAAAAAACATAACAAAAAGAGCTAAGTGGTTATGTGTGGCAGTCCATGTTGTTCATCTTTCTTGGGAGTGGTTTGCAAGTCCCCTAGTCTGCATCTACCTCCATGTCTTCTGCTGTACCCTGAGTCCCTTGACTGGGTGGCCTAAATATGGTGTTTCGGTACTCCACAACATCCACCACAACTCCTTCCTCACTTGTACTTGATCTGGTAGAATGCCCAAATTTTCAACTTTCTTTTTGTTAATGTGTGGTATTTTGTACTTGTTCCCTCCTTGTGCCTTGAGAATTTTGATCATGCATCTTTGCAAAGTCACCCAAATGTACTTGTTCACTTGGGGCTTGAATGTGTTATAACACTCAATCACTTTCTCCACTAGCTCATCTAGGTCCTTAGGGATAGATTGATATTGCAAGGATTGCATTGACCTAAATAAGCCTAAATCCAACACATTTAAATCAGGTGACTGTGCTGGTTGGAAGACAAGTTGAATATTGAACTTATTTGTTGTGGTTGCTGCAATAAACTCTTCATCTTTAGGAACTTGGTGAGCCCTTGCATTGTCCCATTGAATTGACATTTTTGGGCAGACTTTCTGGCCATTTAGACTAAATTGCTGGTATGACCTTTGTGAGCAACATCTCCCTAATAACATCTTTGTTCACATTCTGGAGTGCCTTGGTTACCAATGTGCATGCTGCTCTGATTTTGCTTGATTTCTTTGCTAACTCTTTCACTATGAATGGGAATATTCCATACTTCCCATCATGGAGTAGTCCCCCATCTGTGTCATACAATGGCTTCTTAATTAAGGCCATTAACATGGCCTTTAGCTTGAATCTTTTTTACTGTTGTGCCATTTATGAATCTTCCTCACCTGGATTGAGATAAAATCTTCTCTTGTCAGGATTGAGATGGAACCATTTCTCATCTATGTGTATGACATGGTTCATGTCAACAAAAGTGGGGTCCCCATCTGCTGTGACTGGATTTATATGTGATAACACTCATTTCAGTCTAGCAACTTTGTGGTCTGATGTGAGAGCAGGCTTGTTACTGCATGTATGTGTTCTGAGCCTTTCCTTTTTCTTCAAATTGTGAAGAGTTACATGAAAAATCTTCAGGGCAGTTGCATAACGTCTCTTAGTCTGCCTAAGATACAGAGGGACTGATTGTAGGAATTCATCTGAAAATTCCTTTGGCTTTGGACCTGTTCTGCCATACTTCTTAGTCCTGACATCAATCGTATTCCCCTGTGCCATCTGTTTTTTAATGTCAGTAAAAACTCTACTGATTGTTGACTTGTGAACTCTGAATTGGATGGATAACTGTTTCATGTGTCCCTTAGGTAAGTTACCATCTTGCATTGTAACCAGCATTGCATCAACAATCTCTCTTTTCTTTTGCAAAGTCAACTGTTTTCTACTGGCAACTTGAGTCCCATGATCTGCCCCATGTTGCATGTTCTGCTTTGCATCAGCTTCTTGTGTGCCCTACTGCCCATTGTCTGCCTCTTGTTCTTCTTCTTGCATATTTTCATTTTCTGATTCATATTGCTCGAAATCTTCATCTTGCATTTCTTCATGTTCATCATAATACAGTTCTGCCAGTGCTTCCCCTTAAAAGTTGGTCAACATAAAAAACACTCCTTCATCAAAATGTGCCATGTTTTCTGTTTTGTATGTGTTTGTTCAGATTTAAGAAGATGAAAAAGGGCTGGCTGTTGATTTTTTTTGGGAGAAGGAGCTGCCCTACGTGCATATGAACTCAATGGAGGTTGATTGCTAATGAAAATTGAAGATGTGCAGCACTAATTGTAGTTTAGGGTAATTTTTTGTGAAGAAATCAGATTAGGAAGTGCTCGAACTTATGGTTAAACAATGTCATTTTTGGAAAAACTTTGGTTTGTAAGAATTGAATGCTACCTGCTTTGGTGGCTGGTTTTTATAGGCCTCGTAAATGGTGTATGTCAGCAGTAAATGCCTCTTAAAAGGGGACTGAATTCAGGTATTAATTTTACTGAAAATTTAAAACTTTAACAATTCAAATTTTGGTGAAATTTTAGTGAAAAAATGAGAGGGAAAGTAGCTGCCCTCCACTTGTTGATTTCCCACCAGAAATTAATTGTGGGGGGTCCTACTTTCTCTCTCCTTCATTACTTAATTACTTTCCAACACTTTCTCTAATCTTTGCCCTTTAACTTTTGCATTGGCAACCACAAACTTCATTTTTGTTGCAGATAATATTTAACGGAGGGAGTATTAAAAGTAAGATGGGGATCATAAAATGAATAGTATGTGTGAGAAGATAAATATTTATATTATTTATGAGAGGACCATAGAAGAGAAAGAAATGATAAAATAATTTGAGTGGGGTTTAAAGTAAGAGAGAGAAATGATAAATATAGTATAAAGTTACCAAATAAGGAAGTGATGCATTTAAAAAAAAACACCCAAAAAAGAAAAGTAATGCAAATAAAAAAACGGAGGGAGTACTACGTACTAACTTTATTTTCACTTAATTTAAAGCTACGGAGTAAGACCCAATTCACTTCACCTTATTTTGGCTGAACTGAAATTGTTTTGAAATTATTTTTACCGATTTTCTGTTATATTTTTTCTTTAAAGATACTGATTTTTACTGAACTGAAATTATTTTTACTGAACTGAAGTTATTTTTACTGAATATTATTTTTTTAAGGTGAAGTGAACAGGACCTAATAAGCTTAGTTTATGTGTTGTTTAGTTTACATTAAAAACGTGTATTAAAAATGTACTACGTAACTTTGATGAAGGAAATCCTAATTTGATTCAATTTTATGTATTTGTTAATTTAGATTTCATAATGTATGGCTTTTTATTAATAAATTGATTTGTTTTAAAAAAAAAACGTGTGTTGTTTGGTTTACATTAAAAACATGGGAATTGGGAGATTCTAGGAATTGCAAAATGAGTAAATTGTTTGGTTGAATAAAATTTGGTGAAATGGGGGAAGTAAAACTTCTTAGGAATTTTTAATTCCCACAAAATGTTGGAATTTACTTAACTAGTGCCCTCTAAGTAAGTTGAAATTCCTATGAAAATTTACTTCCCTCATTACTAACCAAACAACTTTAAGAAATTCCCATGATAAATTTGATTATGAAATTTAATTCCCATATATTAGAAGTTCATGGGAATTTTTACTTCTTATGTTAACAAAACGACCCCTTAGTTTAGTTCGCATAAAATAAATTCGGTAAAAATAAGTACGTTATTTAAGTTTAAAATACAACTTTAATACGGAGCAAGTTTTAATTTGGTTTAATAAGTTCACATACTTTTCAAAAAAAAAAAAAAGTTTAGATACGTTTGAATAAGATAAGTTCATATAAGTGAAAACTATTTGAATTAATACACCCTAAGATTCACCTTACCTGATCAAATCGGAAAAAATAAGTTCATGTCATATATGATTTGTTTACGTGCACCTTTTTTAGTTAAATATCTTTAATTTCGTAATACAAAAAATTCAGTAAAATTACTTATTATCTAAATCTAATATTGTTTGGGGTAAACCCCCCCCCCCAATGCCACGTGGCCCATTAACAAGCTGACACGTGGCAGCCCTTAAAAGGCCCAATGGGATCCAATCGGATGCTGACACGTGGCATTGTAACCCTAATAGGGGAGCAGATCTTCATATGCTATAAAATAGAGGAAACTCCTCATTTATTGCACATTCACAAACATTCAGAAATCCTCATAAATACAAACACTCAAACCGAGGAATATTAATTTCGGAATTTCTCTAAATCAGAGAGAAAACCCATTTACTTTCCGCACTTTTATACATCCGGAGATGTACTAACTTGATCGTCGGAGGCGAAACTTCACCCAACCGGAGTTTCGTGGTTTTGCAGGTACAGACGGTCGGCGCACATTCCCAGAATTGTAACTCTCTCGAGGGACTCCAAAAACCCCGAAACATTTGGCGCCGTCTGTGGGGAGAGTACTTCTGAAATGGCATCCGACACTGTACCGCTTGGTGAGGGCAGACGGCCTACGACCGAGCCTGAGGTCCATACGGACCAGGATAGTGGTGACGACTATGAGGTCGACACCTATGTGGCCCCAAACGGGTCACTCCATACAAGGTGCACTCGTTCCAAAGAAACAAGAAATGGGGCGAAGACAAAGCTGGTCCCAGCAACCCAGCCGGCAAGCCTGCTGGGCAACCCCAAGCGGCGGAGGGCACAGCCCCTATCATCAGAGACAAGCTCTTGAAATTCATGACCAGTTTCAAGGGGGAAATCAAGGACATAATCAAGAAGTCAACTGGCTCCAACAAGGGTCAATTGGCAAAGAAGCCTTCTCCCTCTGGGAAGAAGCACCTCAAAGACCGGGTGCCCACTCCTCACCCTAAACCAAAGGGGACGGATAGGCCCCTTATCGACCTCTCCAAACTTCGTTTCCCTAAATCAGGGCAAAGGAAGGCCATCCGACAAGTTCAGCCGGATGGTTAAAAAAGACCTACTTTGATGCTCGGATGTTCATCCAGGAGAAGAGAAGTCAACAAATATCTGAGTCGGCCTCAACGTCGACTTACCCAGACAGTTTCCGTAATACTTCAATGAAGTATTCGGAGACAAATTAAGGGAGCCAATCACGCGGCATGTCCGCACGAACTGGCCCCCATATCATCCAGCCGGTTCCGTATGTGCCCCAACAACCATACATGTCGTATGGATCACCATACATGCAGCCGACCCTCTTTGGGAATCCGGCGGCACAGCAGGTCCAGCCTATGGACTGGCAGCTCTGGCCGCTAAACCTTGGGGAATAACCGTCGGCGTTCTCCAGGGAGATAACCGAGGTGGCTCAGCCGGCCAAGGTTAAGAATGTGTTGGTCAGTACCTACGACGGTACCACCAACCCGGAATACCACCTAATGGCTTACACCAACCTCATGTACCTACAGGGGTTGGAAGACGCCGCCTGGTGCCGATGCTTCCTGGAAACATTGAAGGGCATAGCCCAACGATGGTTTGGCAATCTGCCATCCGGGTGTATCAACAATTTTAAGACGCTTGCATACCTGTTTGCGTCCAACTTCTCCATAAACATCCCTGCCAAAAAGACAAGTCTCGACCTAGGGGCTACTCAGTAAGGAAACAAGGAGGGACTACGGTCCTACATCAGGCGGTTCAATCTGATGAAAATTTAGATTCAGGGGCTGTCTGACGAAGTTGCATACACAGACATCTTCAAGGGTTTGAAGGACGGGTCGACCTTTAAGTTCGACCTGGTCCGCAAGAGGGTTGCTACCCTCCAAGAGGCGTTGATGGAAGCCGAAGCCTATATACAGGCAACGGAGCTCTGTGCCATCAAGCACTCGTCGGAACCTAGGAGGTCCAACAGGAAAGAGAGCCAGTCTGCTCAGCCGACCAAAAAAGAAGAGAGCAAGAAAAGAAAAGAAGTTTGGGCGGCGTATCGCTTTGGTCAGCCGTCCCAGAAGAAACAGAGAAAGTTGGAACCGTACATCCCCAAGTACGAGTTCGACAAGGACTGCTCCTCCATCCTCATGGAGATCAAAGACCAGTTAACAATTGAAAAATCGGTAGCAATGAAGAGTTCCATCAAGAACCGGGACAAGAGCAAGTACTGTCAGTTCCATGAGGATGTCGGCTATGACACCAATGGTTGCTATAGCCTTAGGCGGCTATTGGACCGTCTAGCTGATGAGGGGGCTTTGAAGTCCTACCTGGTGAAGTCCAAGGGCACTCCCAAAACCAACAATGGACAACCGTCGAAGAAGCCGGCTGTGAGCTCTAACACTAACGAAGAGCACATCTTCACCATAGCAGGCGGCTTTGCAAGCAGGGGTCCTACCATCCGGGGTACCAAGGACAACATCCGGAAGCTATCCAACCCAGTGGATGAGGGCCAGGCGTCGAAAGACACCTTCCCTGAGGTCTTCATCTCTGAGAAGGATCGGGGTATGGTCAGGCGGCCCCATAATGACCCAATTGTCATCGAATGCAAGGTTGCCAACCAATGAGTGGGCCGGATCCTCATCAATACCGGGAGCTCGTCTGACCTGATCAGCTATCAATGCTTGGCAAAGCTCAAGTACAAGCCTAGCAGTATGCACAAGGCTTCTCACCCCCTAGTCGGCTTTGGGGGAGGAGTAGTGCATCCGGAAGGGAGGATTGGCCTACCCATCCGGCTAGGAGAGAAGGGGGAAGGACGGCACATGATCGTCAAGTTATTGGTGGTCGAGGAATTGACCGCCTACAATCTGATTCTGGACCGTCCTACCCTCAATGAGTCCAAGGCAGTCATCATCCCATCCCTCATGCTGATCAAGTTTGAGAGGGATGACAGGTCAGTGAGTTCCCTGAACGGGGATCAGAAGACGGCTAGGGAGTGTTACCTCTCAGGCGTCAAGCCGACTGCTGCCGCAGCCGGCCAAAACGAGGAGC